AAATTAAAACAACAATGATAACATACATCTAAATCTAATTTATCAAAGACTTTATTTATAACCTTTTCCTTCTTTGATACATAAAATACATCTTTGTCCTTTTTCACTAATTATTCAAATTCATTCTAAGAGATAGAAATGTAAAAAATATCAAGTACATGAAGTCTAAAATGAAAATAGCAAAAAATGACTATGATACCTGTTCTGCTCACTCCATTTAAAGCAAGTGATTGTAAATTATATTAAATAATCTTTTAATATTAATATTTATTTACTAATATTTGTTATATATATGTATATATATTAAGAAATGTAAATAAATAATTTTTTTAAATGATTAATTCTATTTTTTAAGTAAAAAAATACCTTTTTTACATCATATTGTGACAAAAGCAAAAACCTATTACTGAATATTCAAATTATTAGTTGAAATCATGTTAATACTTAATAATATAATTGTAATTTCTCCATCTAATTTCAAAGTAGTAAATAAAAGAGAAGTCAAAAAGTAGATTTGAAAATAACATCCACCATGGATCATTATTACATTCTATATTCATTTATTTTTATTTTGATAGAATATATTCAATTATTAGTAGGGTAATGTTAGGGGCACTCACTTTTCGCACTCTCGAGCCAACACTTCCCCTTTCATTGGGCCACGTAAGCTTCTTTAAACCTTTTAGCGCAATTTCTCGATAACCAAGATAACGTGGCCCAATAAAAGAGAAAGTGTTGACCGCAGAGTGCGAAAAGAGAGTGCCCCTAGCATTGCTCTTATTAGTATATCTCAATTTGGAACACTCTATATATACTCTTCTACACTACTCCATTCCACCGAACAAAGAAAGATGGGGTTCTTCACAATGCTCTCGACACCACTCTGCCTCCTTTTCTTCTTCCTGTGTCTTACAACTACCTTCTCATCCTCTTTACATGCTTCTTCCTTTTCAACAACACAGCTCTGCTCTCATGAGGAGGCTTTTGCTTTGCTGCAATTCAAGACTTCCTTTTTCATCAATAACACTACTCCTTATCCTGGTAGATGTAATACTTACCCTACCAAACCTTATTCTAAGACTGAGTCTTGGAAGGAAGGTATAGGTTGCTGTTCCTGGGATGGGGTTAGCTGTGATAATGTCACAGGTCATGTAATCGCTCTTGATCTCAGCTGCAGTCTCCTTTTTGGCACCTTTCCTTCCAACAGCACTCTTTTTCTCCTCAAAAACCTGCAGAGCCTCGATCTTTCCTTCAATGATTTTAGGCTTTCCAAGATTCCGCCAGAAATCAGTCAGTTTACTAGACTAAAGCATCTTGATATCTCTTCTTCTCAGTTTTCGGGCCAAGTTCCAACAGAAATTGCTCACCTACGCAAGTTAGTTTCTCTCAATCTCTCTAACGACCTTGATTCTAATTCTCCTGAATTGATCCTTGAAACAACTACCTTGAGAAATCTTGTTCAGAACTTAAGTGAGGTGAGAGAACTTGTGCTTCGTGGAGTGAACATGACATCTGCTAATCCTCGTTTCTTCATGAATCTTTCTTCTTCTTTGACTACTCTTGGTCTTTCGGAGAGTGGGTTAAGAGGAAACTTTCCAAACAGTATTTTCCGCTTTCCCAATCTCAAGATTTTTTATTTAGCTGGAGAGGGAAACCTCACTATTGATCTTCCAAGTTCCAATTGGAGCAGTCCTCTTCAAGATTTGATTTTAGATGTCATGGATTGCGGAAGGCGATTGCCAGAGTCTATAGGAGATCTAAAGTCATTACAGCATCTACTTGTTGGCTGCAACTTGGGAGGTTCCATTCCAACATCACTTGCAAACCTCACACAACTTCGCTTCCTCAGCCTTCGAGATAATCACTTTTCTGGTCCCATTCCAGCTTTAATAGGGAAATTATCCCAACTTACTTCTCTAAGCCTCTCTTCTAACAATCTTAGCGGACAAATCCCATCATCACTTGCCAACCTCACAGAACTTTGCTTCCTTCTCCTTTCAAATAATCAGTTTTCTGGTCCCATTCCTTTTCATGCAAGTAGGTTTTCCAAACTAATCTTTCTAGACTTATCTTATAACTTACTCAATGGCACGTTGCCACCTTGGATTTTCACCCTACCTTTGTTAAGGTTCTTGCAACTCAATCATAATCAATTCCAAGGTCAAATAAATCAATTCCAGCAAAAATCACTCATATGGCTAGATTTGTCAAACAATAAACTCCAGGGCTCAATTCCTAACTCAATGGCTAATTTAGTAAATCTTATGTATCTTGATTTATCATCAAATCATTTTAGTGATTTGGTAGAATCTGACATGTTCTCGGCGCCTCAAAATCTGGAAACCATTAGTCTTTCATACAATAATCTGTCCGTGAAAATGAATGTCCATGCCAACTTCACATTACCCAAACTAACTAATGTTTTCTTGTCTTCTTGTAACTTGAGTGAATTCCCCAATTTCTTAAGACATTCAGATGGTCTGCAAAGCCTAGTGCTATCCAAAAATAGCATTCCCGGAAATATTCCTGAATGGATATGTGAAAAGGATGATCTCGAAATTCTTGACCTTTCTCATAACAATTTAAGCGGGAAGATTCCAAATTGTCTTCCTAAGTCTCTCTCAGTGTTGAATTTGCAGGCCAATTACTTTGATGGAAATATACCATTTGTGTTTCCAAAAGGCTGTGGATTACGAAATCTCAACTTACATGGAAATCAAATGAACGGGCCATTACCAAAGTCTTTGGTGAATTGTGGCAAGTTAGAGGTTCTAGACATTGGCAACAACAGCATAGAGGATACATTCCCTCATTGGTTGGAATCTCTACCAGATCTTCAAGTGCTTGTCTTAAGGTCCAACAAGTTCCACGGTTCTATGCAGAGCACCAAAGAAAGTCTGTCTTTTCCCAAGTTACGAGTTCTGGACCTCTCCAACAATGATTTTCTTGGTCCTTTGCCTGTTCAGTACATCGAAAATTTTAAAGCGATGATGGACCTTTATAGAGATGAGGGTTCTCCTGAATACATGAATGTCAGTTCTTATCAATATTCACTGGTTGTGACAATGAAGGGATTCGAGTATGAGCTGCAGGGAATCTTGACTATATTCACTAGCATTCATCTCTCATATAACAAGTTTGAAGGAGAAATTCCTGATGTAATTGGAAAGCTTAGCTCTCTCAAAGGGCTTAATCTTTCTCATAACAACCTTAGTGGTCCTATCTCACCATCACTAGGGAATTTGGTGAATCTTGAATGGTTGGATCTCTCTTCCAATGGGCTGGCAGGAAAAATTCCAGATGAATTGGTATCGTTGACACAACTTGAAGTATTGAATCTTTCAAATAATCATCTTGTGGGACGCATACCACAAGGCAATCAGTTCAGCACTTTTGGAAATGATTCTTATGAAGGAAACCTCGGACTGTGTGGAATCCCATTATCAAAGTCTTGTAATGGGATTGGGACACCGCCAAGCTCCTTCCAAGAAAAAGTTGAGCTCTGGAGATTTGGCTGGAGAGTTGTGGTGTTAGGCTATGGATGTGGAGTTGTTTTTGGACTGCTGATGGGATATCATGTCTTCCGAACGGGAAAACCGAAATGGTTTGTGTCTTTGTTTGATGGCCAACCAAGTCAAAGGAGAAGGAAGATGAGGAAAGCCAGAAGACTTGTTCAAAGAAGAAGCTAGATGCAGAGTTGGTGTTTTAGATCCTTCTGTTTTAATGTTTCCTGAATAAGTGCCCTTTGGGTTTGAAGTTTTTGTTATGGTTTTCAATGGTTTGTATAAAATTGTCAACCTTCTCTCCCCTTTATGGTTTGTAATTTTGTCTTTCTTTATTGTAAAACATATTTGAAGGTTGAACCTGTGAATCTTTCTTATGTACTTCCTTAAGCCAGTTGGTATCAAACTTGTAGCTAAGGTATGTCAAGTTTCGTTCTTTACAGTTTTGTTTTTGAGATACCCATTAGCACAGTTCTTGTTTTACGTTGTTGGGCTGAGGGCGGAGTTTGAATTTTGAGATAGGATTTTGATGGAATTATTTCATAATCGTGGAATCTGGATTTTGGGATGGTGATCAGGTCTTAGGGATATAACTGTAATTGTAAAATTGGGAAGGGTCTAGTGATTTCGGCTTCGGTCCCTCTATCCCACTTGCTTTCAGCAACATCTTCCTTCCACACAACACAGAACCCAACGGAAGTAGAATTCCCTTTGGCGAGATGAAGGGACATTATCAGCATCACAGACTCAGTTCAATTTCACCTCTTTAGTGTTCCTCTTCTATTATGAATCCCAACTCCTCCGTTCCATCTGCAGCAAATCCATCAATACCCGTATTATCTTCCCCCAACCTCTGTTTTTACCTCATCACCTAGCATGCACAGTTCTAACAGGAACAAGGGGGGATAGGACTGAGAAAGGGAATACAATTTTGGGGTTTTTTTTTTTTTTTTGAAGTTTTTAACATTTTCCTTCGGCTATAACTATTGTGGGGGGTTTTGGCACCTGAATCCGCTGTTAGCAATTAATCCTCCTTCATTTTCGAATCCAAGTGTTCCTCTTTCGTGCAACACAATCGAAATTTGAAATGCTCAATAAAATTTTCGTCCAAAAGTAATCACTTCCCATGTCGTGTAGTCTCCAGTTGTTTCAATCCGTCCATTTTTGGTGGAATTTACAGTTTGTGATTGCAGAGACCTGGCGTTGTTGGCAGTGGAGCTTGTCTGAGATCGTTAAGTGAAGAAAACAATGATCTGGGTGGTGAGGTTTTTGGCTTGGATTTGGAGTCTCTGAAGATTTTGCGGAAGCGGGGAGTCTTTATTGGGGCAATGCTTTGTTGTCTTTTGGTTTTCGCGTGCAAGAGAGTGCTTGTGGTGGAGGGAGTAGGGTACGGAGTGATTGAGCAGTGGGCATTGTTGTTGAGAAATGCGTGGCCTAAGGTTTCTATTGTTCTTAAGATTTTCAAAGAGCAAGGTATGATTCTGACCATACTTTTAGGTCTATCTGAATTCTTCTCAATGGCAGAGACTTCTATAACTACACTGTGGCCATTGAAGGTTTGCTTTCTTGGTTTGAAGATTGATGGTTCTTATAATTAATGAATCGCAATTGAAATCTGAATTTTAGTATGGAAATATTGAAAAAGTTGAAAAAGATAAATATATGAAGTTGAAGAACATTCACAGTTATTCATTGTTAATGTTTCAGTAACTTTTATGGTTTAGATAAATATATGAAGTTTGTGGTTGTTGTGCAATGGCATTTGCTGACTTAAATATTGGGTTAAGTTTAGCAAAGATTAATCTGATACTGCTATTTCAAATTTTGATTGTGAAATTCATGCAGCAGTATTACTGTTGTCTTGCATATATATATTTTTAAGCAAATGACTGCTGAAGCTTTCCCAAACATTTCTTTTGTTGAAATAAATTACTTCTACTCTCAAATCCCTTAGCATGGCTGCTTCATTGCACTATTATGGTGTTCCACTTAGACCTCCCTGCCATCCATCTTCTTCTTCGCCGCATTTCCATTCCCATTCCCAATGTCTATTCACTATACAGCATCTTAGTACCTCTTCTCATTTGCGTTCCCCTATAGGTAAAATTTTGAGGCTCAGTCGCCAGGGAACTATTCTTGATACAATTAAACAAAGTAATGAGACTGAAAATCCGAGTTTAGGCAAAGCCAACAACCAACTGACGTGTGTTATGAAGTTTGGACGCTCATCCGTGGCCTCTCCTGAGAGGATCAGAGAGGTTGCAGCGGTTATCCTCAGCTTCCCCAATGACAGGCCAGTAATTGTTCTCTCTGCTATGGGAAACACAACAAATAAGCTTTTGTTGGTAATGCCTTTCTTCTAATTTACCCTGTAAATGTAAATGCAATCTTTCTCACTTCTTTCTCTCTCTCTTTGTCAAAGAATTTCATTATCTGTTGACCATCCAGGAGGGAGAGAAGGCTATTAGCTGTGGAATCACTAATGTGGAAACCATGGATGAGTTGAGTTTCATAAAGGACCTGCATCTTCAGTATGTTCAATTCTATACAAGGCTGTAATAACTAGTTGTATGAATTTATTCTCTTCCCTCTCTCTCTTTCATCATCAAATTAATTAATGTTCAGGACTGTAGACGAGCTTGGAGTTGAGAGGTCAATAATTGAAGGTGAGTTTTGTTTGCTCTTTGACTTATTTGTTTTTATTTCATGTTGCTACTTTGGAAAACTTTTTGCTTGCTTAAATAAGCTGAACAGGTCTTAAGAATTAAAATTGTTCTCTTGGACATCAACCAACTCTTTCTAGCTAGTGGCTAAATCAAGTCCTTGATCTTGATTAGTCAAACAAGTCCTTCTAATATTGTTCTTTCATCCATGTTGGATCTGGGAGAAATTCCTCCTGTGCCTCAATTAGTCATAAGGATCGAAATGGGATTGCTTAGCTTGTGAGTTCAAGTGCTTTATGTGTTTTAGGATATTGCAGTGTGCTAAATTAGTCAAGTTCCTGAAACATTTTATCAGTTAAGGCCATCAACATTGAGTGCTGGAATTTCAGAGTGTCTACAAACTTTGAGATATCCTCAATTTTCAAAACAATCCCAGTTTGAACATCCTTATATCGTTTTCTCCTCCCATCCATATTCTAATGGTTCATAACATTCTAGCTTCGTTGATAGATTTATGGTGTTGCTTGCAAAACATTTTTCAGGACACCTGGAAAGATTGGAACAGCTTCTAAAGGGAATTGCTATGATGAAAGAGTTAACCCTGCGAACGCAAGACTACTTAGTTTCTTTTGGGGAGTGCATGTCAACAAGGATTTTTGCTGCATATTTGAATAAAATTGGAGTTAAAGCCCACCAAGTATGTTGTTTGTCTTCTATATCCTATAACTAAATATACATGCCTTTTTTTGCCATGCTGGTGAACATTAGGAATTTAGTTTTTCAAGAAAATGTTTTAACACGGATAGCTGTGCTCTACCCTGTTCCTAAAACAGTTTCTTTGATCCAAATGTAAGTCATTTGAATTCTTACAGAAGATTCCATTAAGGTATCGCCTTCTTTGTGTTTCCTTGTGACTACCATCTTAGTGGTTTCAGATTATAATTTTGTTCATCTTTTGCAGTATGATGCCTTCGATATTGGTTTTATTACCACAGACGACTTCACAAATGCTGATATTCTGGAAGCAACCTATCCAGCTGTGGCAAAAAGGTTAAATGATGATTAGCTCAGTGATCCTGCAATTCCGTTTGTCACTGGTTTCCTGGGAAAGGTCCTTCTACTGAACAGCTGCAGTTAGCTTTTTGCATGGATTTAAATTTGAACGAGATTTTGTTAGGGCCATGCAGCAATGTCTTATAGACAGTGAACTTCTGATTGTAGGGCTGGAGATCTTCCGCAATTACTACATTAGGTAGGGGTGGTAGTGATTTGACAGTGACAACTATTGGGAAAGTATTGGGCTTGCAAGAGATTCAGGTGATGAGTTTTTTTGTATTAATTGTGAACATTTGACGCAGTTCAGCATGCTTATATAGGAATTTTTATTTCTTCTCTAATACCCATTTTTGACGATTGAAATGTGTATCTCTTTATTCAGATACACAATAGGCATATAAATATTTACAAGTAAATCTTTTTTGAAGTTTGTGGAACAATGATGTCCTATTGAGTTGAGATTCTCTGCACAAATTTCATTGTAGGATAACTACCTTTTTTCATCAAAATTATGGTTTTCTTATAGGTATGGAAGGATGTTGACGGAGTCTTGACCTGTGATCCTAATATAAACCCACGTGCAGAACCTGTCCCCTATTGACGTTTGAAGAGGCAGCTGAACTTGCTTACTGTGGTGCTAAGGTATCAAATTATCTATAGTATTTTTTTTTT